TTGTTTAAGAAGATTTTATACCGGTTGAAAAAAAAAAGTAAGTTTTTAATACTAATTATTGGGTGGTCCGAAAAAATAATTGCGCCTCAGAGTAACTAGAGACACTACGCGCCTTAACACGTAACATGTACTGCGATTTATAGGGAGCACAGTCCTTTTTGTCTATTGATATGGCACCAACCTCTGCTTTATTGGGCAATTTTTCGCGACAATAATCAAGTATAATCGATTATGCTGGATTAGGTGATGTGTCAATTGTGTCATACTCCCCTAAATTCTCCACCATCATATTCTGGGATACTTGATGATCAAGAACACTTAATTTTTTCTGTGAGAACAGACCGAAAATCACCTTTTCTACATTTAAAATCGACGAAAAAAATTCCATTGAGGTCTACGAGTGACATCATCACTATAAGCTGCTGATAATGACGTTACTCGTAGGCCCAGAATTGGATGGAAAGGGAGTTAGGGGAGTATGGCACAATTGACACATCACAAAACCTAGCATAATCAGATCATGCTTGATTATCCTCACGAAAAATTGCCTATTGTATAACCATTCTGAAAGCAAAATATGATTATATTATGTTTCCTAGGTGGAAAAGCTATTCTGTTCTCGAGACTCCGAGATATTTGGTGAATTATTAGCACGTACCATGTACCCATAAGGGGAGCTATTTATACAGGAGTGGTGAAAAGTACCGGAACGGTTGAATCTCTTTCAAATCCGCTTACAAAATCTGCATTCTCATATTTCGTTATCTGGAGGTTTCCGGACATGCAAAATTGAATGATTCAATGATATCGGCGCTGCTGCCAGATCTACCAGCTTTGCCCTACATCATTGTCCAATTTTGTTAGCTCAGAAACCTCCAGATAACAAAATTTGGAAAAGCAGCATAAGTGAGTTTGAAGAGATTAAACCGTTCCGGTACTTTTCACCTCCCCTGTATAAGTAGCCCACTTTGATATGGTACGTGCTAATGATCCTCGAAATATCCCGGCGTTTCAAGAACAAAATAGCTTTTCCACTTAAGAAACATACCTAATATAATCATATTTTGCTCTCACAATGGTTATACAATAAAGCCGAGAAGGGTTGGTGCCATATCAATTAACAAAGAATAGTGGTGCCGGTGCCGCGAGACGAGGCTAGACGAGACTTAAGGTTAGTCTCGTCTTGACATCTCGAGTAACAAAGTCTCGTTTCGTCTCGAATGGTCTCGAGTTATACAGGGTGTCGGGAAAAAGGCGTGAAAATTCTTCACTACGTGGTGGAGGACAATTTATATATGGGATTCTATGAAATGACATAAAAATTTTAAAAATTACGTGAGTTTCGAATAAATCACGTAAAATTTCAAAAGAAAATACGCGGAATTCCGTCAAGAATACATGGAGTTCCGGTAAAATTATATTTAATTTCAAGAAATGAAGGGTTACTTAAGTAAAAAAGTATGGAATTCTATGGAATGACGTAAAATTTTTAAAAATGACGTGAAATTTCAAAAGAAAATACGCGGAGTTCCTTTAAGAATACATGGAACTCCATTAAAATTACATTTAATTCCAAGAAATGAGGTGTTACTTTAGTGAATTTATATGGAATTCCATAAAATGACGTGATATTTTTAAAAATGACGTGGAATTCTGAAAAAATTGCGTGAAATTTCAAAAAAGTCGGGACGAGACGAAACCAGTCTCGCGGTATCACTATAACAAAGAAAACTGTGCCTCTTATAAATCGCAGTAGGTACATGTTACGTATTACGACGCGTACTATCTCTAGCTAGGTACTCTGAGACGCAATTATCTTTACGGACCACCCAAAAATTAGTATTCAAAACTTACTTTTTTTTTCACCCTGTATAAAATCTTCTTGAAACACGAAAAAAGACGAAACCGTTGACCCAACAATAATGAAGAAAATTGTTTCGAGTAAATGAGACAAAGAATCAGGGCGATAAAAGTTGTTTTTCAGTTAAACTGTAATTTCTGGAAAACTACGAGAGTTATTCAAAAACCCTTTAAGTGGTTTTTTACCATTGAACTACTGATTCTTCTAAAACTCAGAAAAAAAGCAGGAGTATATTTGAAAAGAAATGGCGACGCCCTGAAATTTGTTGAACTTTGCATTGTTTTATTGTCCACCCTGTATGTTGTAGATAACGTTCCTGTTCATCAGCACGATATCTCTTATACTTTCTGAGATATTTAACTTCAAAAATACGCAAAAAAATTCTTTATGCGAATCGAAGTTGCAGCAGTTTATATTTGCAGTATTCCAAGGATGTTCTCATCTGGGCCTTATAAGAGTAGCAAAAGCTGAAATGGGATATACAACTTCCTTATTCTATAAAAAGCCCCTAGCTTTTGTACTGCTGTCCTAGCGATTTTGGTGACGTGGTTACGCCAAGACATGTTATTTTCCACGTTGATGTCCAATACGTTTATGGATGAAGCCAAGACCCAGTGTTGGTCCTGTCATTGTTATAGGTCGGATCCTGCAAGTTTTGCCTTTTTCTGAGAAATTAGTTGCTTACGTCTTTCCTGCAACAATGATTGTTTATGCGCAATGTTGCTTTCCTTCTCCTAATGTTGTAGTTCTTAAATTGATACCATCCTGATACCATCAATAATAAAGGAATCTACTTCCCGACAAGTCGTTAAAGTAGTCATAAATTACTAATTTTTTTTGCTTATTTCATTGAACCGCCATCATAAAATTAATACTTATTGTGAAAATTGATATGCATGGTGCATTTGCTCGAATAATCATGAAAATGCATCTACGCTCAAAAAACAGGCAGATCCAGGGAATTGCGTCGCGCCGCGAAGTATTGCGAAGCTACCCGGATTAGTGCACGGCCGGTAAAACTCTCAACTTTAAGTGACGATATCTTGAAAACTATGCATCGCGGAGTATCGCGAATTTTTTCAAAAACTTCCTTGATGTCTTAGCTTTGTTTCATTCGCTGATAGTATGGCAGAAATCCTTAAAACAAAAAAGTTTCTCGCTTACTGAAAAAAATACTGCATAAAAAGTCTAAGATAAAGTTTTACCTAGTTTCACGAATAAAGCGAGTTTTTCAGAGAAACAAAATTTTCTTAGTGCTTTTCTTTAACGTATTCTCTTCAGAATAAAAAAAAAAATATGAAATTATCTTAATTAGTTCCGGAGATATCGCGAGGTATGTGTGAAAAAGTATGAAAACCGAATTTTAACAAATCTATGACATTTTTCGATATAAAAATTGTTGGAACTAGTAAAAAAATTTGTAATTGGCCATTTCAGATAGTCATGGACCTATTCCATCATTTTGCAAAAATATTGGAACATTTTTGCAGCTTTTTTAGTCTACGAAGTAGATAGTAGAATCAATTTTTTAAAATTTAAATATCAAAATTTTTCCGTAAATTTTGCATAAAAGAAATTCCTTGATCTAAATAAAAAACCTAAACCCGCTCATTCCGATTTGTGTGAACTTTATTTTTCGATTAAAATAAAATTAATATAATTAATGCACGGAAGTTGAAGAAATACCTATTTTTCTAATATTGTTTATTATTTCGAGAGACTTGTTTATCTTTCTGAATCCTAATAAGTGAATACGCACTTTTATCAGTTACCGTGCATTGTGCGAGGTATCGGCCGTAATAATATGGCAACGTTGCTCTCAATATCTCCACGGAAAGCGAAATAAATTCGAAATAAATTCGGAGAGCAGCGCCGCCTATAGGTAAAAAACACTCCGTAAACTTTACGCTTCTATTCAACGTATATTATTCTATGGTAATACCCAACAAAGTCAAGATTAAAAAAAAAAACTAAGAAATATACCTATACTCAAAAATATACAATTTAAATTAGAGATAAAACGTTAATAATTATTATCTCCCTATATATTTTGAATTTTATTGATTCCCGCTCGTGCTTCGCTTTCATTTTGTTTAGGTAATTTTGTTGTATGTACATAAAACTGGAAACCCATTATTCTCCGGGATGGGGATTAACGAAGGACCCGTCATTGTTAAGAAGATATCCCATTGCAGGCACTGAAGTGACGCGTATTATTTCTGAGTTCCATGAAAAAGTGGTTATGGTTAATAAAACACCAAGACACGAGAAACAATATCCTAGCTTCCAAAAATTTTTCCTTGAAAAATGCACGGCTTTGGAAGAAAGCTTTCTTCAATTTGACAATCCGTTTATATACATGCAGTGGTTCGGACCTTTTTGTCTTAGATAGCAGGTGGGAGACCAAGCTATCAATGCTTTAAATATAGAGAAAGTCGGTGTTACCTTTACAATGATTTTGTGCGAAAAAGACTTGTTTCCAATGAAATCTCCTTTCATATCTGGCTTTAAAAAAAAAAAACGAATCTGAAGATATTTAAAGCGAAAACACAAGCTAAAAGAAATGATGCAATTTTCTCGATTGTTTATAGTAGGTAAGTGCAGCTCGTTCGTTGAATCTAGATTCTTTTTTTGAACATGAAAATCAACATTTTCCACTTTCTTTAGCATTGAAAGGTGAACTACATCCAGGAGAAAAAGTTTCTTTAATTCCTATTCTTGGAAGTCTCTATGATTGCTCAACAGAAAAACCAATGAGTGATTGATGGAGGTATGCTAGCAAAGTTGTAAACTCCGCATCCTGGAATGACCAATTTTACAGAATATTGTGATATTGTTAACAGCTTCTCAACAATTTAGCGCAGAGTTTACATTTGAAACGTATAAATATAGCATGGGATGTATACAAAGATGGTAGCAATAAGGCAGGCACAAGATCTTCAGGAGGTGCTGGAGTACGTTGCCAGAACTTACTTACTAAAGATAGTATAAGAAAGAGAAAGGAATATTTCTATTCTCGAAAAAAGTATAGTGTCTTGTAATCGACCGATTGGATTCGAATTCCCCTGAATATGTTTTCTATGAAATATTGAACCTTGCTGTTCCACTTTTGAAAATAAATCAGTAACAGGACTGAAAATATCAATTTACAATAATTATATTTATATTTTAAAATTATTTAAGCACAATAATGAATAATATCGATGGATAAAGCACTCCGTCTATTCAATTACAATAAAACAAAACAATAATAAATAAAGTTTGATAACAATCTATCAAAGTAAAATTAATATACATTATAATTACCTAGAAGAATTAACAAAATATACACAAATTCCTACTAAAACTTGATTTTTTTTTTTTTGCTTATGCGGTAACTTTTAATATTTGCACAAAAATAATATACAAACAAAAAAAAAAAAATATTTTTTGGTGTTACAAGTTTGGCCAAAAACAACACAGTTGGCAGCCTACTTAGTTAAAAATCGTGGTTAAATAGATACCTATTTGAGAAATTAAATTTTATTTTTCAATTAGTCGAAACTTGCCACACGATCAAATGGCTTAGCTCGCCCTGCACGTTGACGTGGTTCTCCGACAAAGCTAAAGCGGCGTCTCCACCGATCATGCTGTCTTCCATTTCGTCACCTGAAAAAGTAACAGTATAAATAAATGATATTTTACACAAATATTCAAGTAAAAATAATTATTTAACCAACAGACACTATTTGCAAACTGCATCAAGCCATATTGATACTAGAGTGTTCATATTAAAAAAAGGAGTATAGAGTTACAACTTAGCTATTCATATAGTACTCTTTAACATTATAGGGCTCAAGACTAATTAAAACCTGCTGAAATGTTTTCATTTGTTGTATTTTTTATGTTATTACCTAATTTATACCCATATAGTAGGAAATTTTTTCAAATAGGATCAGACGATGGATTGGAACAGATATATCGTTTGTATGAGTGTTATATCCGTGGTTAATATCGACAGAAAATAGGGTTTGTCTCTTTCAAAAAACAAACATGTTCATTTCGAATACATACAAACCATAGATGGTTAAAATCCTCTCAGATCTAAATATATAAAAAAACTAAAAGACATCTTATAAATTATTTTCAAAATAAGTTTCCGTATAACAAAAATGTCTTGAGTCCAAAATCCAAACAAAATTCTCTCCTACACCTGTTTTTGGCTTTGTCTCTTTCACTCTCGCCGGGCTCCAAAGCATCTGTATATCCTTGTTTTTTCTTTTTCATCTCAATTCTCAGTGAAAAATTCCTTGACTGCCAGTGTGAATAGTGATAAATGGATAATTAATCGCCTTGTGAATTTATTTGCATGAACCGAATTAAGCAAGTAAGACCGTTACAATTTCTCTAACAGTCTAACAATAAATACGGATTAGTGATTCGCTTGAAATGCACTATAATTTGAAGTGTTTAATGCAAAAATTTGGTTTCAACGGTGAGAGGAATGCAGTTGTAAAAAAAATGGCTGATTTCATTCATAAAATACCCAGTTGCGTGCGAAACTTTTAGGAAGTGTTGTCATATTGCAACTTGTATACGAAAATCGACAATGACCAAACCTCCGCCACTGGATATTTCAATATAAATCGATATTCCAAGATGGGAGGATAAAATGACGTAAGCCCTGGCCAATAGCGAGACATAAGGTGACGTTAACCCATTGACAACCGCATGGTTTTCCCTGGCAACGGTAATCATGCCAAAAACTCCACCAATCAGTTTCATCCAGGCCGGATGCTTGCCAAATTGTCAAAAGCTAATGGTATTTTTAAAAAATATTTATTTTTTACAAAAGACCAAATTGAAGAAATCAGGATTAAAATAAGAATAGATCTAACAACCAGGTTATAGTTATTTACCTAACAAATGCGGAAAGTGATACTTTACCGCACGCAACGGCAGTTGACCGAACGACGCGAAGCGGAGTTCGATCAAGCCGTTAAGGGCGTGCGGTAAAGTGCACTTTACAGCACGTATTTGCAAATGGAAAGTATCACTTCACCGCACACTATGCGGTAAAGTGGACTACAAAGTGTGCGGTAAAGTGCACTTTACCACATAGTGTGCGGTAAAGTGAAATTTGACATTTTTAATCAGAAATCTTCTTTTTTTCAGAAAATGGATTTTTGATCATTTCTATATCTAATCTAATTTCATTAATTAATCTGATTCAATAATTAATTTTATCAATTTTTTAGAGATGTAGATGCTCATAGGTAAAATTTTGTATCTAACACATGCGGAAAGTGCCTTTACCGCCCTTAACGGCTTGACCGAACTCCGCTCCGCGTCGTTCGGTCAACTGCCGTTGCGTGCGGTAAAGTATCACTTTCCGCATTTGTTAGGTAAATAACTGTTAACGTTTTATTATTGTTATCAATATTTTGTTATTAAAAAATGAATTTTCGAATGAACTATACTTCATGCCTAGTATTTTCGCTTTTTTATAATTAAACGTGACAACATGGCACATTTACATATGTCCGAATTTCTTTCGCAGACTCAGATCCGCTGGGCAAACAATAGGATATGCAGATTGTGATTTTAGATTTGTTCTAACACGAGTTATGTAGTTGAAAATCTTCCACTATTATTTACTTAATGTTAAGATAATGCATCTACTTTCTAAAGTATTTACTCTAACGATATATTTATGACTTTTTCCAATATATAAGTGTGTAATCAACCTTAGAAGTTAAGTTAGTGTTACTGAAGACTTTGTACTGTTAGCATAAGTTTGTAAACCTAATTTCGAAAATAAAAGTTTTTTTTACGGTTTCGCGTAAACGAGAAACTTAACTGGCGCAGTCGGTAGGATTCCAGAAGGCGAATTCCTGAAAATCGCAGTATTTTGCAATTCGTCGTTGGTTTCAACCATTCGTCTGGAGAAAACAGGGACAAGGAAAGACTCTGAGGACTTCAAGTAAGTGTTGGGTACCTTCTATTTTTCCCGCACTTTTCCTTAATACCAATAATTATAGGCATATTCTGTCTCAAAAATCTTAAATTATTCTCAATTATTTTTACAATTTTCTCTTTATACTTATTAAATAACAATGAAACAACCAGCAGCCACCGCTGAAGCTCTGGCTAGAAATCTTGGAAATATCAGTTTTACTGTGCCAACTATCCAGGCAGCAAAAGAAATTGCACGAATTCTTAGGAATTTCACTGGTCGTAGTGATCACCTAGAATCTTTCATTAATTCAGTTGACAAATTTCATGCTAGAGATGGTCAAACGACCGATAATAACCTAAATGAATTCGTTTTCGCTTCAATTTGTTCGAAAATTATCGACGAAGCTGGCGACTTTTTATTGTGCAGACCAGATCTAGAAACCTGGCCACAAATTCGACAAGCCTTACGCGAAAAGTATGGCGACAAAGTCGATCGTCACGTTCTACAGCAACAATTCATTTATTTAACAAGAAATAGAAATGAAAACATTGCAGAATTTCTAGAACTACTAAAACTCTCAAAAATGCGTCTCAACTTAAAAATTAATTCAGACCCAGATATCAATGATCAAACAAAATTAGTATTGATAGATCAAAATGAAGTAACAGCAGTTACAGTTTTGATGGCTAATTGCAATACTGAACTTAGAACATTATTAACGTTAAAAAATCCCAAAAATATCGAGGACGCGACGTCTTTAGTTTTAAACCACTCTTTATTAGAACAACAAATCAACCTGAGACAACAATCTTACCAGAAACTTGTAAATAAATCCAATCACAATAATACTAACATCAGAGCATACAACAATAATACAAATCATAATAACACCAATTACCAACCAAGATATGTACAAAATACTCCTACCTATACCTCAAACCAGGTGCAGAACCAAAATAATTCTTACAGGAATCCCCAACAACAAAGCTCTTTTCCGAACTCAAAATTCCCTAGTCAACCTATAAAAATGGAACCACGTCCGGTTCAACCTAAGTACTTCACTAACCAGGAAGTATTTGGCAAACCAACAAATGTGTTTTCACCGAAAAATTCTCACAAACCCCAAGGTAAAGCAGAACCTATGTCAACCACAAGTAGATTACCCTCTACAAGAAATTTTAACAATCAGGCACCACGAAATCATTTCCAACGAACTGGACCTCCAAACTTCACATTCCAGGAATTAACCAATGTGGAAACTGACCAACCCGATGACAATCCTGTTGTAGAATACAACGAATCCAACGAATATGAAGAAAATAATTACTATTCAGAAAACACAGAGCCTGAATCCCAAGAAAATTTATCTACTTGGTACGAACCAAATTTTCAAGAGGCCGAGCCTCCAATAGATCAGTCATAGATCTTAATAATTTCATGGCAAATTCCCTACCATTTATCCAAATAAATCAACCCCCTATCAAACTGCTCATTGATACGGGATGCCACCCATCATTATTACGACCTCACATCGCAGAACAATATTTTCCCGACGCAGTCTTCTATTCGAAAACACCAATCGTAACTTGTACAGGACAAAGTAATTCAAATTCTAAAGCAATTATCCCTCTGTTCACAGAATTTCAACCTCTAGTCGATAATATAGAATTCGTACTATATAACTTCCACGATTATTTCGACGGCATTATAGGAATACGCGACTTAAGAAAACTTAAACTAAACATAGACACTTCTAATAAAATGCTTTTTAATGAAAACGTAATGATTCCTCTTCATTACCGACAGGAATTCGATTACCAGAAAATTGAAATTCCTGCTTTCACAACAGTTTTAAAGCAAATTAAAACCGAATTACCAGACGGTGAAATTTTAATACCCGATCTTAGTAACAATGTCATCAACATACCAAGTTCACTTTTAAAAATCGAGAACGGATTAACAACCTTAGAACTTTCTAATCCGACAGATAAATCAGAGCTAATAGAAATAGATCAAGATTTTTTAACCCCGTTCGCAAAGGAATACCATGAAATTCATTACGAGTGTTTTCACATAGAACAACTATCCCCTTCATTCACACCAGGAGACGACACTTTTGACTTCTCCTTGATTCGAATCGATCACATGAACCCTGAGGAAAAAACAGCCTTAAAAAATCTGCTTTCAAAGTATAAAGCAATATTACATCAACCCAACCAGAAACTTACATTCACTAGCAAAATCAAACATGAAATCAAGACAACAGATGACATACCCATCTATACCAAATCTTATAGATACCCCTTTGTACATAAAGCTGAAGTCCAAAAGCAAATATCAAAAATGCTTGAAGACGGAATAATTAGACCATCACAATCCCCCTGGAGTTCCCCCATTTGGATCGTCCCAAAGAAGATTGATGCCAGTGGTAAACAGAAATGGCGAATAGTTGTCGACTACAGGAAGGTGAACGAAAAAACAATTGACGACCGATATCCTTTGCCCAACATCACAGACATCCTAGACAAACTTGGAAGGTGCCAATACTTCACCACTCTCGACCTAGCCTCTGGCTTTCACCAGATCGAAATGCACCCAAATTCCGTCTCTAAGACCGCCTTTAATGTCGAAAATGGACATTATGAGTACCTAAGAATGCCCTTCGGACTCAAAAATGCCCCCTCGAGCTTCCAGAGAGTAATGGACGATG